TTCGTATTCTTTGCGCTCTCTTTACATTGAGAGTGTCTCTATATGTGTTGGTGCTGAGAGCAAGATTACAGTGGGCTTAATGGCTAGTATTATATGTATGTACAGTGGTATTAGGAGATAGTACGCTACAGTACATAGGTATTGAAGAGATTGAACAAGGATCAATAAAATGCATTTGTAGGCTGCTCAATTTCATGAAAGTCGACGAGAAATGACCAATCGATCTGAGAAAGTGCAAGATTCAGGCACGTAAAATCTGCTTTGCTGAAGCAAAAAATAGCCAGTTGCTTAACGGGAGTTTTGATGGGATCAGAGGAGGGCAACAGCACGAAAATTTCAAGTGTGGGATGTTAAGGGTCTTCTGGGAGAGATAGAGGAGACCCTCTGCAGACCATGGTATTCGATATGTCGGAAGAAAACATTGGCTTTGCTGGACTGCACGTGGCTATAATAATTGCGAAAAGTGTCCGAATTTGATGTGGATTTGATGACAGTGCTGCATCTTCAAGTGTAAGATCCCAATGCATGTCATTCTCAAGCATATTCAATCGTTCGCATGCTTCGCGATACGTCCAACACAATTCTTCATCAACAGTTCGCAAAGATTCAAATGATGTCGGTCCACGAACACTTATTAGCAACAATCGCAAATAATAACACTCTTGATTGTTAGGATGAACTGTATAAATTCGTCCTATCGCATCTGAGTGAAACAATACTGGCTGACCATGAACGGCTTTTCCTCGTCTTCGCATTTGAAAAACTTTTCGGGTACTTCGGCGTATAGCAATGTTTTCGCAAAATCATCTGCTTTGTGAGGTCCTATTTCAGGCTGAGGTATGCATCAGTCTGTCCAGGGTCCGCTACAAGAAAATTTGTAGTTGGTAGGTGACTTCAGGTGTCGGGCTGGCTTAAAAAATGCAGTAGGCAAGCGAGAAATGATGATGCGCGAGTTTTTGTTTGCTGGTTTCTTGGTTTTATTCAGTATTCTTTTTCATTCATTTTAATTCTTTTACGTTGGTACTCTGACTCGTAGTTGAATGGTGCGCTGGTGGACTGCGTAGTGTGGTGTTTTGCTTTTGTGACTGCCTAGTGCAGTGTCTTGGGTGTGTGACTGAGCGACTGCCTAGTGCAGTGTCTTGTGTTCGGGCTGATGGACTGCCTGTGTCTTGTGTTCGGGCTGATGGAATGCCTATGTCTTGTACTCGGGCTGATGGACTGCCTGTGTCTTGTATTCGGGCTGATGGACTGCCTGCTCTTTCGGCCGATCTTGGCGCTTTTATGCAGCTGCCGATCGCACCTGAGACCCGGAAATAATTGCTTATTGCTAACTTTTGATTATTGGGTGACAATAATTGTGGGGCGTGGTAAGTGGGTCGAAGCTGGGTGCTTCGTTGACAATTGCTTAGTGGGTCAGTGTGTTTTGATGAGAGTGTTTTTAGCTGAGGTTGCATCGCAGTAGGTGCGGGCTGCTGTTGGGAATTGGGTTTTTGCTACCTCCTCATCGCGAAGGTGATATCTGTGATTCGAGGCCGAGTGGTTGCGAAATATCGCCAAGAAGTGGGTGACCGAGAATTTCGTGCTGTGTTTTTCGCTGATCGAGAGTTTTAAATTTTAGTAATTGCGTGCGTTGCTTAAGACTATTTTATTTTCCGGGGTGCTGACACACCGCTATTTGTGGAGAACCGTGGCTAGAGCCATTGTTCGTTAGCTCTGTGTATATCAGTTTGGTTATTGTCTCCCGCCAGCGTGGATGCGCTGACCCTCCGCCGTTTGTGACGAGACAATGTAACGAACCATGGATCCCATGGTTCGTCACAAGCAGACGACGCAGCTAACGCTACTCCCAGGTGAAGCGATCAACACCCAGCAAAAATGCAAACTCAGCACACGCCAAAAGACAGGAGACTAGCACAAGGGGCTTACGCAATTGTATTGTATTGTATTGTTTGTTTATTGTATTTCCTAGTGCTACAAGCAAGGGGCTTATAATTAGAGCACTAGTCACTAGGTGTCACATTAGTTTGGGATTAAACTTAGATCTAAATTAATCTTTTAATATGACATACTAATAAGTGGTTACATATATTGATTTGTTTTCTTATGCTTATTATGTTCGTGTTATTTTATTTTAAATTGAATTTGATTTTTAAATCTTAGTCTAGTGTAAGGTGGGCACCTAACTGTGTTTTGAATTGTGAAAGGTTTCGTATTGTTTTCATGTGATGTGGAAGATGATTCCATATGCGAATAACATTCACAAAGAAATGTCTCTCAGAGTTTAGTGTTCTATATCGTATGGTGATAATATTGTTCGTTCTTGCGGAATTGGTAAATCTTAATTTTTCATACAGATATTGGGGTTGTCTGGTGAGGATTATTTTATGTAGGAACGTAAGCATCTTATAGTCAATCCATTTGAAAAGAGTCATGTCGAAAATTTTATGTGAGAATGCAGAGATTCTGTCGCTGCGCCTTAATCTAAATATGTATCTAGCTATATTATTAAAGCAAACGCTCAACTTTTGCCTGTTTTCGTAGCCACAGTTTCCAAATGCCTCAATCCCATAAGTGAGTACAGGTACTAGGTATGCTTTTGCTATCTGCATCCGGATGCTAACTGGTATAAATTGCTTGGTAATATTAAGTGCCCTTAAGATCCCATATGTTTTTCCAACTGCTTTGCTCACATGATCATCCCACGACAGAGTACTATTTATTATAAAGCCTAAATTAGTTGTCTTCTCTATGTAGCTAATGGGAGTGTTTGATATTTCTACACGTCTCAATATAGTTTCATTTATTTTTTTCTTGTTTTTGTATATAATCAAGCATTTTGACTTTGTTGGATTGAGGCATAGACGATTTTTGGTTGCCTACGCACTAATTTTCTCAAGCTCTCTATTGGTAACATTTATACACTCATCTATTCGATTTAACGGTCGACTAACATATAATTGGACGTCATCGGCGTACATGTGCACTTTACAGTCGGACAATACTATTGGCAAATCATTTATATAAATGGAGAACAATATCGGGCCAAGTACTGATCCCTGTGGGACACCACACTTAACATAGGCAAAGGACGACATTTTCCCTTCAGCAACAACAGCCTGGCTCCTATTTAGCAGATGGGATGATAGCAACCGTACTGCAGAGTCAGAGAAGTTGTAGGATTCGCGAAGCTTTGCGATGAGGATGCGATGGTCAACTGAGTCAAAAGCTTTAGTGTAGTCAAGAAGAGTTAGGAACGTTACATTTCCGTCGTCTATTCTTTCACGGATATCCTCTACAATTTTTATCATTGCAGTTGTGCAACTTCTATTTGTTCTGAATCCAGATTGATTGTTGTTTAGTAATGTGTGCTCTGTAAGGAATGAATTTATTTGTTTAGCTACCAAGGTCTCGAACGCTTTTGACAGGGTCGGGAGTATGGATATTGGCCTATATTCTGCAGAGTTTTCTTTTGGGATAGGGATTATTTTAGCCTCCTTCCACTGTTCCGGGAACGTTGATGTGGTAATGGCTGTGTTGAAAATGTGAGTAACGTGCATGATGATTCTAGGGAGTATTATTCTCAAAAATTTCGGGCTCATATCGTCTAGGCCAGTAGCATTTGATTTAATCTTATGAATGGATTCTAGAACATCACAAGGACTAACACAACAGAAACTAAAGCTAGGAACAGTATAATTATAGGGCGCTGATGTCAAGTTCAGGGTTGGTGTTGGGTCCGGTACAACTAATTGCAAAAATTTTTTGTTAACTTCATTTACGTCCATGTCAACTAGTGAGTTTCTTGTTTTTTTGCCAATTCCTATACTTTTAATCACTTGCCATTTCTGCTTGCTACACAGAGCGTTGTTAAACTTTGACGAGTAGAAGGCGGTCTTAGCAGAGTATATTAGTTTAGTTACGTTTGATCTTAATGATTTGTACATATTAAAGTGGCTTTCAGTCTTATATCTTTTAAATTTTTTAAAAGCCTCATTTCGTTTGATGATACCCAGCTTTATCTCCGGGTTGAACCATGAGTTATCTGTTCGTTTGACTGTCTTTCTCTTAATAGGTACATGTTCACAGTAAAGATAGTCAATGTTTGATTGAAGTTGGGCAAGCTGAGAATTTACAGACAACATATAATGTATTGACGTCCAGTCAAGGATGCTAATGTCAGTGTGTAGTTTTTCAAGGTCAATGTTCTTGAAGTCTCTGTAAAAGGTGTCATAATTATCGTAGTCAGGATTAAAATCGTAGGTCAAGAAAATAAGGTCATGTTTTGAATACCCTGGTGCTGTGAGTTGGTCATATAGTAGAATTTTGTCAGTACTGTCGACAAAGAATAGGTCTAGTAGTGTGTTTCTTGTTTTTGTAAAGTGTGTGGGGAGCTGGTGGTTCACTATATTTAAGTCAAGGCTCAACATGCTATCTGCTAATGAGGATTCTCTAAGAATATCACAATTAAAGTCACCTGCTAGGATTACGTCTGTATAAGTCAAGGAAATGTCAGTAATAAGTGATGTCAGGTCTGAGTAGTCAATGTTTCGATTTGGTCGATATATGCAACCAAGAAGCATCTTTCTTCTATTGATGGTGATCGTTAGAAATAAGTATTCTATGGCACTATCTGGTCGTTGCTTACAGAGGATTTTTGCGGATATCTTGTTATTTATATATATTGCAACGCCCCCGGCATGCCCTACACGATCAGAACGAAATACATTGTATCCTCTACATTCAATTAACGAGTCACTTAAGTCGGGGACAAACCAAGTCTCGGACACACATATAACATCCACACCAGAGTCGATAAACATATGTCTGAATTCGTCAATTTTTTTTGTCAGGCTTTGTGCATTGATATGGCAGATTTGCAGACCCGATTTTTGCTTCACCAGAATTCTGAGGACCTGAGATGTATTCACATTTGTTAGTTCTAATGAACCGTCCATATCAAGTGTGTTTTAACACAACGAAAAATTTCATTATAGCTTATAGCTAACATGAAAAATTTGCCTATGGTTATATTATTGACGAAACGAGCTATTCTCGTCTCCAGCTGCAGGGCTCTCAGTAGCAGCTTGCATCTCCCTCAGATCCTCAATTTTGAGAACTTCCCAGATCTCACTTTCTTGGGTCACTTTGACGTGAACCATACCCCTGCGCGTAAACACGGATTGCTGCTTCCGATGCTTTTTCATTTTCAGAGCTTCTCTAAAAATCTGGTAGTTTTCCCTGGTAAGCTGCTCGTTGACATATACTGGGGCTGGTGAGTTTAGGCCGAGTAACTGCAGAGTTAGGGGCTGCTTGGTTTCCCGCCTGTACATACCGATGTTGCGCAGTAATGCCGCTTTGTCGCGCACCAGTTCCAGCTTGACAATGATGATGGGGTCAACGATGGAGTGGGAAAGATTTTTGTTCGGCCTCATACGATAGATATCCCTAATAGCAGGCGCAGGCGTGTGATTTAGGCTGTGGCACAAGTTGTTGAAGATATGTTTCAGCTTTTCACCTTCGACGTACGGAACTCCATGGATCCTCAGGTCGCATGCGACATTGGCCTTAGCCTGTGCATCTAGTTTTAACAAAAGCTGGGCTTCCAGATCCTCTACCTTTTTTGTAAGGTTTTGAGTCTCACCCAGCCTACTTTCTAGAAACTGGACTCTCTGTGTGAGATTCTGGATCTCATCAGCCATACTATTAAGCTTGCCTGTTAGCAAACTTAACAGCCGCTCTTCTGCCTCATTCATCTTTGTTGAAATGAGACTGACTTGCTCCTCAAATCGTTGGTTCAAAAGCTGAACCAATTCCGGGGCAGGCGTTTCTGATGTACGCGGTCCCTTCAGATTTGTTCCAGTATTTTCACGCAGACGTTTTGAGACAGGCTGCATTGTTTTGATTATGTGCTTTAACAGAGGCGAGGCTATACAGAATGTTGGTGCACTATTGGTGGGCGCCCTCTAGCGCGAGCTTTTGCAATATGCGTGGCAGATCGATCGCTAACAGCTGTGTAATGTCACCTCTAGCGCTGTTGTTTTCGTTGTTTACGTTCGTACTCACGTTTCCCACTCAGTATTAAGTGAAAAATTTCGTTTCCCGCTTTTTCCGTGCCTTCCTTTGCCAAGTTTGAGCTACTTTCGAGTTACTCGATGACCAGTTTTTTAAAAACAATAATAAGCCCACGGGCCAGCCGGTGGTGATCCGCTGACAGTGCTCTGATGTTGGTAAGCACCTTATATTTGTATTGACCAGCAGCTGATGTGTTGTTGTTTGCAGGTTTCACCGAAAAAAGCACTTGTTGACGGAGCGTGTAACTTGCACGTCTATTCTGATTGAAGAAAGAACAACAACAATAAGTACCTAAAATAATATTAAATAAATAAATATTCCTAACAATATATATTCCCGAAGTGCCAACGAAATTCCTTTCCCACGGTACCGGTGCACACCGATCACCTTACCTGGGACATTGGACACTTTTTTTTTTTTTGTATGTATAGGAGGGAAAAGCATTGAAAGCCGATAAGTGTGGGACTTGGAATTACCTCACCCACTAAAAACCCCCCTACTCTCCGTATCCCTCTCGCGGTACGACCGTTAAGTATTACTTCGCGAGGGGGAGATGGCATGAAAGCCGTCACTAGATCCTATCTAGGATTTGAATTTCGATTGCGCTGTCTTTCAGCGCGACGCAAGGATTGGATGATCTCTGCAGCGTAGGTGCTCACGGCATCCCAATTGTTTTGCGAGCTAAGTAGGATATCCATCAAGTCATTGACTATGAATGGCCTCCCAATGTCTAGGCTTAGCTCTTCCCGGTCAGCAGAGAATCTTGGACAGACAAAAAATACATGTTCAGCGTCTTCTATGGTCCGTGCACAGTGCGTGCAAAACGGATCCGACTCGCATTTAAACTCTATGTAGGTAGAATTTAAAGCACCCATTAGATAAAAGTTCGTCTCCCCAAAAGTTCTACTCACCCAGGACCCTATATCCGGGACTATGCGTCTAGTCCATATGCCGTTGGGTGTGTTACGCCATCGCTCTTGCCATCTACGTTGGGTCTCCGCCTCGCGGATGGCCTGGTCTTCGATGGTGGTTCCAGCGGCGAGAAGGTCAATTGGCGCCATGCCGGCCAATACTAGGGCCGCATCTTCGGAGACGGTGCGGTAATCACTAAGGACTCTCAGTGCACATTTTCGGTAGGCCGCTTTGCAGGTGCGGCTGTACGTTGGGAGCTCCATAGCTGGTGCCCATATTTGAGCAGACTACATGATGATGGCTCTGACGACAGAGCAGATGAGCAGTCTGCTCCTCTGTCTTGGACCGCCGATATTGGCCATTATGCCGGATAGCACGCTTTCTGCCCTGCCGGCTTTGACTCCGGTTGCTTCCAGGTGCTGCTTGAAGCTAAGCCTGTGGTCCAGCAGGACTCCCAGGTACTTGATAGCCGGGGACGACTCGATTTCGTCTGTTCCAACGACCACTCTGGCTGTCTCTACCTTTTTCCTGGTGCTAATCAGGACCGATTCGGTTTTGTGCGCTGCTAGGCTGAGGCCGTTTTCCTGGAGCCAGCACATCACTCGTCTGACTGTCTCGTTCGTGTTCTCCTCTACTTCTGACAGGGTTTTATGTACCGCTACTACCGCGATGTCGTCTGCGAAGCCAACGATGCTGCAGCCGGTTGGTGTGTCCAGTCGTAGGATGCCATCGTACATGACGTTCCACAGAAGCGGGCCGAGAACAGACCCCTGTGGAACGCCTCCTGTAACTTGCCGTCGTTTTTGTCCCGTCGACGTGTCGAACAGCAACACTCTGTTTTTAACATAGCTGACTACTATGCTCACCAGGTACTCCGATACACCAATTCTGGAGAGGGCGGCGATGATGCTTGGCCACCTTGCAGAGTTAAAGGCATTTTTTACATCTAGTGTAGTTACCAGGCAGTACTTCTTGGTGCCACCGTGCCATCTCTTCCCAGCTATGGCTTCGCGGGCTTTACCCACCACTGCTCTGATCGCGTCGGTGGTGCTTCTCCTCTTCCTAAAGCCGAATTGGAGATCGGATAGTCCCTGTAGGCTGTCAATTTCCGCTTCTATCCGATTCGCGATGATTCGCTCGAACAGCCCGTGGGGAAGACTTGCTCCTGCAGGCATTGGTTAAACGTCTTCGCTATCGCTTCCGGGTATGTTGTGGCTATCGTCCGGACTGCTATGGCGGGTATACCGTCGGGCCCTGGCGCTTTGCCGGTCTTCATGCTCTTAGCCGCATTTAGGAGCTCTTCCGTACCGATCTGTGGGGGTGTGGGGATCTCCCGGTGTCTGGGCACGTAGGCTAGTTCCTGTTGTGTGGGGAACAGTGCATCCACGATCCTGGACAATAATTCCGGACAGGAGGGCATTACCTTGCGCGCCAGCTTGCCCATCACTATCTTGTAGGCTAGGCCGAAGGGCTGCAGGTCTGCCTCCTTGCAGAGGTCCTTCCAGCAGTTTGCTTTGCTGCGTTTGATCTCCTTGGTGAGATGTGCCCGTTGTTGGTGGTAGATGGAGTGAGCTTCTGCCGCTTCCTGGGCTGCTTGGGGGTCTTGTGGTCTCCGCCTTGCCCTTTTCATGCTCCTCTGGTAGCAGCGTCTTGCTGCGTGGCTCCCTCTCCGCAGATCCGCTATTTCCTGCGACCACCAGTGCACTGGCTTTCGCATCCTTCCTCCCATTTGCTTTTTTTACCATGGCGGCTTCGCAGGCAATTTCCATTGCTGTACCTAGCGATTTAGCCTGCTGCTCTGCATTTCCGTGTATACTTTCGCTGCTTAGCCGGAACATGAGAAGCAGGCACTGGGTGTCCATGTCCTCCGTTTTCCAAGCTGTGCGCCTTATGGTTGTGGTCCGTCTGGTGGGTCCGTCGTCGATACAGCACGTTATGGCCCGGTGGTCACTACGCGTATATACACTTGCGACTTTCCAGGTGGCACTCCGTGCAAGTTGGGGGCTGGCAAATGCGACGTCGATTACCGATCCACGGTCACCCTTTGCGTATGTTTGTGTGCTTCCTTTATTCAGGAGCACCACGCTCAGGGTCGCGAACACGTCGAGTAGGACGCTTCCGCGTGCGTTTGTCCTTGTGCTTCCCCACTCGGTCGCCCATGCGTTGAAATCGCCAGCAATGATCACTGGGGAACAACTGCGTGCATCTTCCGCTAGGTCTTCGAGTATGTTGGCGTACTCTTCCAGTTCTATGCTCGGGGCAATGTAGCAGCTATATATGTGGATGCCGGCAATCTTTGCTCTGACGTACCCCACTGACGTATGACGGGCGCTTAAGCCTTGTGGCGAGGTTCCACAGCTCCAGATAGCTCCTCTATAATTTGAGTTTGTATTCTGTATCCATACGTCTGGTTGCATCGCTAGGTGTGGCTCACTCAAGATGGCGACGTCGACGTCCTCTTCTCTCACTGTCTGCATGAGCAGGTCCTGTGCCGCTCTGCAGTGGTTCAAATTAAGCTGCAGGAACTTAATTTTGCCCATTGGTGTGTGTATTTGCTGCCTTGACATATATAGGGCATGCCCTACTGAGGGTGCCATGTGCCGTGTCTTCTAGTCCTGCTCTTGTGCATAAGATGCAGGCGGGCGTCTGTTTGCAGTCCCTCGAGTTGTGCTGCGTACCTCCACAATTAAAGCATTTGCTTGTTTCGTCGTGGCTACTCCTGCATCTTGCCGCGATATGTCCAAATGCTAGGCACTTGAAGCACCTCCTGGGTTCGTTCTTCTGCCGGATTCGGCATACCGACCATCCAATGCGAACTTTTCCCTCATGAAGCAGCTTGTCCGCTGCTTCTCTGGGTAGAAGGATGTTCGCCGTCAGCGTTCCACGGTATGCTTTCCGGAGTTTCGGGACTGACTCGGTCGGCAAGTCTCCGTCTATCTTAGCGAAGATGGCTTCGAGCACTTCTTCCGGCGTTGTCCACTCCGATATGTCCCTGACCTCAATCAGAACCTTCTCGGAGATAGCCTTGACCTCAGCGATATTGCCCACCTTCGTCTGGACTGCCTTGAGGAGTTTTGCAGTGGCGCCGTCCCCGTGCTTCCCCATCTGCAGGAGGAGCTCCCCTGCAGCGGTTCGTCGAATTGCGGATACCGAGTCTCTGAACTCGAGGATCGCTTTATCGGACTTCACCGCCCTGAGTCATATGCTGTCATATGCTGAGGATATGACTCCTGGTCTTTGCACTTAACGACCAGTGCATCTGGCCTCTGTGTTCTCCTGGGCTGATTCACCAGCCGCTTCCGCTCTGGGCTCTTTGTGCTTCTTTTTTTCCGTGTTCTCTGCTGTGGTGTTTCGGCCAGCCTTGGTCTGGCTTCCGCCACGCGTTTTTCTGCATGGCCACGCTCGGGGCGCTTGTCGGGCTTCGGCTGCTTCTCCTTCCGTGTGTCGGTGGCGTCGAGTTCCTTCCATTCCACGCGATTCCTTTCCAGGCATTTCGTGCAGATGGCGTCTACCTGCTCCTCTTCGTGCAGCTTCTCGCTGACTGCAACCTGGATGTGCTTCATTTGGGCCAATGAGTCCTTCATTCCTCGGTTGATCGTCCTCACGATGGGCCTCTTTTCATTTACCAAGTAAATAAGTTCGTCCAGGATGCTTCCCAACTTGTTGAGCTGCGTCCTGCAAGAAGGTGCATTGCC